CCCGCGGCAGAGGATCGCCAAACATGGCACTGGTGATCGAGGCGAGCCGTTGGTCACGTAAGTTCATCTTTTCCGCGCGTCGTCCCCGCTTCGAGGAACTCGAGACGAGCACGAGACGGGAAAGCGAATGAGAACCGTTGGTCGAGAACGCGAGCGAGAACCTGCTCGAGTTCTTTTTCTTTCTGTTTTTTCCCTGTTTTTTTTGTCGCGTCCTCATCGTCGTGCGGGACTTTGCGTCAATTGCGTTACGGTGATTGCCGTCGTTTCTATCCTTTTTCGTTTCTTCTTTCTTTCTTTCTTTCTTTCTTTCTTTTTTTGCTAATTTCCAGCTAGAACTAGTTTCAAGTTTCTGCGTGTATACGTGGCGGTAGAGGTTACAGTCGGTCGCAAAAGTTTACTTTCTTCGATTCTATTTTAATACTTTGTCCGTTACCCTTGTCGGGTTGGCAAACTTGTTCTAACTTTTCGTTGTTATTTTTTCTTCTTCTTCTTCTTCTTTTCAAACTAGGCCTTAAAATAAACGAACCACGAAAGTTATAATTATCGACGGGAGAAAAAGAAAATAGTTTAGATCTCGAGTTAGATCTTGAATCGGAGGAAATTAATTTAACGATCACCATTTCTTAGATTTTTTTTAAGACCAGTAAGAGGGATCAATAAATAAATATTTATTTCGCCCATTGTTATTAGGTTGAGACCGAATTAGCGTGGAACAAACAGAAGAGAGGCGGCCGATGAATTTTTAATATTTGCTCGCCGTTCGAATTATCGGTTCTCCGGTGGAAACGGCACGGTTTTCCCTCCGGTGAAAAGCTATCGATTCTCGAACGCGGCGTTAAATGGGTCATTGGACGCAGCGCGGATAATTAGCTGGAGTGGCGAGTTTATGTAAGAGCGGGTTTGTTTTGCGTTTCGTAGATGGATTCACCAACAGCCCATTCGAATCAGATTTTTTCAACTTACACACATATATATATATATATATATATCGTTTTCGATGGATATCAACGCGATTAAACTGGGTCACTCGTCGGAGAATCGTTCTTCCATTCTTACAGCTCGATCCAACCCAATATATCCCCAACAGATCTAAATTTGGAATTCTCTTTTTTTCCTCTCGNAGCAAAAAAAAAAAAAAAAAGAGAGGGAGTGAAATTAAATAGTTGAAAGTCATCTCGCCTACGAATTCTCTCGTTCTTCTATATTTACACCGTCATCGTTGCTCTTCAAAGGGATAAATTATCGATTATCGAACGTTGTTGCGCGACTAGTTAACGGAAGCTGTTATTTATATCGGGTAGGGTATCGATGACACCGACACGAATAACAAATAAGCTCGTTGAGTAAAGCGGTCTCTTGTAATTATTGCTATATCGATATCGTTGATAATGATAATAATGAAAAAAAAAAAAAGGAAAAAGTTCGAAACTCGAGTTCCGAACTCTTCCAACTTTTTTCTTCGACGTAATTTCCCTCCCCCCCCTTCTTTCTTTCTTCCCTTCCCAAGAGAGCGCTTCAAACGGGACGTGACGCCACTCTCTTATTTTTAGTCGAGAGTTAAAACGCACGCCGCGTTACCGCGTCGCCACGGTTTCATTTGCTAGCCGTGGCACGCACGGGGCGAAAAGGAATTGGGCGAATCGAGCGATCGAAGGGGACGATCGGTTCGTTGACAACGGCCACGTGCGAGTGTTTGCCCGCACGATGTCGCAAACTCGGGATAAATTACAGCCGCGAGCGTGCCTTCGCGCTCGTTCCACGCATGTTAAACTATTTTCGCGACACGATCCCCGCCGCGGAAAATTATTCGCCCCCTTCCCAGAAAGACCGCGTCACGATTATTTTCGACCTCCCTCGTAAACGTCCAGTTTACACGCTCTCGGAATCTGTAACGGCCGTAATTCGGATCATAACCCGAACAGAGAATAGAAACTCTAGCCGGGGGATGGAGCGAGTATATGTGGGACGATGACGAAATTGCGACGAGAGAGAGAGAGAGAGAGAGAGGGAAATAGGTGAAACCGGTGAATGAAACGGGACGGAAGAACGTGCTGCGCGCGGATGGATGGAGGGTGGTGGAGAACGCAGTTACTGACCTACCTCGAGTCACGATATTCCGAGTGTATCTCGTGGAGGAGGAGGAGGAGGAGGAGGAGGAGGGGTGGCAACGACCGACCGCAACGTAAATACACGTCGAGCGTCTCGACAAAAAGGAACAAAGAGGAAATTCGTCCAAGGGGACGAGGAGAAAGAAGAAGAAGAAGAAGAAGAAGAAGAAGGCACCGAGTGAAAGATCTCGAGACGAGAGACACTTCATCGTGTTTTCTTTTCTCTCCTCTTCTTTTCCTCCGCGTTGACAATTGAACGGAGGAGGATTCGCGAGTGGACGAAATTCGTTCGAAGGATCGATTCACACGGGGGAGAGGAAGAGAGGGAGGAAGGACGACGAAAGGGGTGGCGAGTATACGAGAAACGAGTGTACGTCCTACGGTTTATATGTAGTAGTCGTGGATGAAACGGGGAATTCAACAAGTGCAGGGAACGGGGAGGGTATAAACGGTCGTACAATCGGTGGAAACGGATACATCGAACAAGTGCAGGGTGAACACGTTGAATTTTCGTAAAGCTCGGGATATCTGAGGATACACGCACATACACACACATACATATATATACATACATATGTGGAGAAAATGGAAAGTGGAAAGAAAGTATAGAAGAAGCGAGAAGTAAAATGGGAAAAATGGTTGGTTACCTGTGTGCGAGAAAGGCTGATACAGGATTCTAACGCG